CGCCAGACACATCAGCTGTAACCATAATTTCCCCCTCTCTCCAAAGAGGAAGATCTTCAGAAAAGGCCAATGCAAAGTGGAAAGTGTGTTATAGTTTGCTAAGTAGCCCGATGCGCTTTAGCGCATCCCAGTCTCCTCCATGGGACAAATCCACCAATTCATTTCTCAGCTGCTCTTACCTAGGAGGCTGACGTAGGCACCGCTGACCTGGCCCCAACGTGAAGGATGCTCAGGAGACGAGACCAGGAGGGGCTCAGCTGTGCCTGGCCAGTACAGGTTGGTTCTGCCACTGGGAAAGGGGATGCCGTTGTCTGATGTATAGATCACAAGAGTGCTGTTGTGGAACCCTGCATGGCGGAGTTCCTCTAGGATAAGACCAAGGCCTGCAGAAATAGTATACAATAAATATTATCATCCAAACCTCAGGAAGAAGTACAGGTTCTTTCTCCAGGCACCACACAGCAGGTATTAAAAGATTATTCGGTATTAATTGATCATCTCTCTTCCATTAAGTTCCACCCAGTTAACATAATTATGCATATTTTGCTAAGGATGAATGGATTACTGTTGCTTTGCTTCCCTATCCCTAAAACATATTGCCGTAAGGCACAAGACCAGTTCAATACTGTGGTAAAGGTGAGGGCCTAGAAACTGGAAGACCACGAGTCCTAATCTTCCCTCTGGCATGAAGGTTAGTCAGGTGACTTTGGGCCAGTCATTCTCTCTCAGCCTGACTTACCTCAGAGGGCTGGTGGTGTGGGGAACATAGGAAATGGGAGCATTAAGTAGCTTAAGTTGTATAAAATATACAAATAAAAGCTACTAGATAGTAGCAAGGCCATTATATGTAAGAGCTAGACACAGTTCTTAGAAACCCCTCACAGCGTCAACCCAGTGAATTGCACAGGGTTCTAAAAACTAGAAGAGATGTATTCCTTTTTAATAAACAAAGATGATCATCTGCTCTCTCAGAACCAATATTTATGCCTTCATGTGCTTAAAGCAAAATCAGACAGACTTTCAAGTATACAAAAATGCACCCAACCATCATTAATTAAAGGTTTTGTTCCCTTTCAGAAGTACCAAGTCTTTTGTCCCACTCCTGTAGGCAGAACTACCTGGTTCAGTAATCATCTACCTTGATCCATGCGCCCGACAGTGGTATATTGAGCTGCCAAATCTTCACGAGCAGCTGGGGTGTCTTGTACAAAATAAGGGACCTGAGACCAAAAGGAGATACAGCTGAAACTAGAAGCTACTAGGAGAGACCTCCAGGTAACAAAGGTGAATTGTTATGAAAAGTACTGGAGGAGACTGGTCATTGCTACTTGGAGGTATTGCTGGAACCCAGGTGGAGAAGAAAATCCTAGGCCTCACCTGCACTTGATCTGGATGGTAGAGCTCAGGTTTCCAGTCAGGGATCCAGCCCATTCCAGGCTCCCCGTTGCCAAATTTCTCACAGAAGGCTCCATACTGCGGCTGGGAATGACCACAGCGATGAGGATCATGGAAAGCGACATAAAGGAAAAAAGGCCTACAGGTTGGGAAAAGGGGGCAGAAACACAATTAAGGGCTCTTGATAATGGGCCAACGGTGTTTCCTCTTCACTATTTAAAGCAATACTTTGGGTGCCTCTAGCTTTGCTAAGCTCCATTTTCGTCTTCTCCATAATCCCCCCTTCAAGTTTGGTTTCTCTTTGAATTTGATCCTCCTATCTCTGTACACAGAACCATTTAATTTCCCAAGACATTCTCTTGGGATCTCTACTGGGCCTGCCAAACATGAGCGAAAGGTGGGTCAGAAGGGCCTGGCCCTGGATGCTCCACATGGGCTTAAGGAAGGGATGCACCTGGATCATTCCAATACCAGATCTTACTTTTCATCCACAGTCTGGAGGAATTTCCGAACAAGCACTTTGATTCGGGTGATGTTTCTGCCCACTTGCAGGACAGAACTGTTTTCCTCAGTGTAGGCAAAGTCAAATGGATACACAGCCTCTGGCCCAACATGCTTCTTGCCAATAATTCCTGAAAGAGACAAGGAGCTGGAGTCAGTCAAAAAAAAGGATATTAATATTAACCTGTCAGTTAGGGTAGTGCCCACATTACATATACAAAATATACATAACCTTGCCATTTACAGGGGCAAGGAGGGATGCAAGGATTCTATGCTACTTACGTTCATTCATAAAGCTTAACAGAATGATGGGTATGTAGCTTCAGAAAGTAAAAATGTGCAATTTATAATGTGCTATGAAATATATTTATTTGTATCCCATCTTTATTATTTTTTACAAACAGTTCAAGGCGACAAATATACCTACTGGTAATACTCCTTCCTCCTATTATTTTCCCCACAACCACATCCCTGTGAGGTGGGTTGGGCTGAGCTAGAATGACTGGCCCAAAGTCACTCAGTTGACTTTCATGATTCAGGTGAGATTTGAACTCATGGTCTCCTGGTTTCTAGCCTGGTGCCTTAACTACCAGACCAAATTGGCTCTCAGAAATATTTTTCTCTGTGTTGGAGTTGGACTAAATGAGACAAAGGCATCACTGAGGGAGGCAATCCACAAGACAAGCCTTTTCTAGTGGCCTTATCAGCACTGACAAAAATAAATAAATGGCAATAAACCAGTAAATTAAGAGAAATGTAATATTCTTTGGATTTTGATTGAGCAGTTAAGTAAAATGTCCATTCTGCTTTCAACAGCGACAACCACCTGCCTCAGCATTACCATACATGGCATCTCTTTTTAAAATAACATGTATCATTGCTAGCATTTTCTTAATGGGCTGCAAACCAGAGAACAAATGTCTTTCTTAAGCTTGCAGGCTGTCTCATCCAAGTCCCAAACAGAAAAGAGTTCCAGCTGAACTGTGGAAGTGAAAGGAGGAACTTTGCTTTCCTCTACTTACCTGTCCGTATCCCAGCCTGGTTAAGCAATAAGGGGAGGCTCTGGACACTATCAAAGGAGTTGAAGTGGTGCACATCTTGGTGCAATCCGTACATCCCATTCTGGTGCTGTGGTTAGACAGAAATCATTTGCAATAATAGGGCATCCTCAGTTTGGTGGCAATCAAAGAAAAGGACAGGATCATGCTATAGCATGGCTTGCTTTTTGCTCCCATCTGGGCATGTTACCTGAGGCAGGCCCGTCAAGAGGCTGGCCCGACTGGGAGAGCAGCTGCTGACAGAAGTGAAGGCATTCCGGAAGATCAAGCTCCGCTCGGCCAAAGCATCCAGGTTTGGGGTCTTTATGACTGTGTTGTTATACACACCACTCTCAAAACCACCATCGTCCGCTGCCACAGAAAAGGGAGAGTATAAGTCAAGGGATCTGTATTCTTCTGTTCGCTGTGAACATTTGCTACAATCTTCTGGGATAGTCATCCACAAATCTATTATATTTGTGCCTGGAAAACATCTGGAGGTGGCTGGATTGTGTAAAATTGCTCTCTTAGCTGGGGCAGAGTTTAGTTTTGTAACAGAGACTTAAAGAGATTTCAGCCTGTGAAATTCCAAAGTGTTGTATTCCATGACATATTTATCCAACAAATGCTATATTGAAGTCAGACCTTTTTTGTTCACCATTAATGCTAACATCTGATGTTTAAAAAGCTTTTGCCCACCATGGACATGAATATTTCATGGCAAGCAATGATTGAAAACCTTAACCCTAATCCATTTTGGGAAGGGGGGAAAGAGTGTAAATTGGTGAAAATAGGATATAACCGATCCGTGTAAAAAAACTCAGCATGATCAAAAAAGGAACAAGAACCCTATATCACACTACACTCCAGGAAACCTGCAGTTACAGCTGAAAAGGGAGAATTGTGGATTCTGAGCTATTTTATGGTTTCATAAACACAGTTCCACTAATTTAGCTAAATGCACACAACACAAACTACAAAAATATGTGGTGGACAAAGGGAAATTCACCAGTCATCTCACAATCCTGTTAATTCTGTCATACCTTATCAAAAGTGGCATGTCCAGCTCTTATATTTCAATAATATTTGTATTATTATATTTCTTATATTTCAATAATAATTGTATCTTCATTCTTTCATAAGCAAAAGCTGAGACCTGGCACCATAGCCAAATTGATCAATGCCCATTATTATGTCCTTTAGAGTTTCTATGCAAGCCTTTTTTCTTCTGGCAAATTTGTAACAGATTTCCCACTACAACTAGAAAAGTCTGCATCTGTTGAATGTTTGTCTGTCCTACAGAAATCTACCAACTGCAGGAAGCTCAATTTAGGGAATATGTGAGAAATAGGGTCCATATTTGGAATTTCTCTTCCTGCCAACCCAAACCAAGGGGGGTGGGGGAACAGAGGGGTGACTGTGACCCAGAATACTTGATATTACTCTCCTGTAGAACACATAGGGGAACTGGCCCTCCCACCTTCTAAAAAGGCAGAGGTTCTCTATTCAGTTGAGTTTATCTCATCAACGCAATCAGGAAGCTGTCACAGCAACAAAACCAGAATGTTTTGCCCATGCTTCCTTCCCTTCTCCTTTTTCGACTTCCGTATGTCTCTGGGATTTCCCGATTGCCTTCCATCCAAATATTTCCCAAGCCCGACTTTTAACTTGCTTCAGAACCACTCAAAGTTTGCCAGATGATCCCCCACCTTCTTAAAGCAACTCCCAACGAAAGCCAATCGTGGGCAAGCATATCGCGCAAGGGAATCCAACGCAAGAGGGTCTAACGTCCTCCCCCAGGATTGGTTTGCTCACCTACAATCAGCAGAACATTGCGGGACCTGTTGGGGTCCGCCTTTCTAGCGTTACAGAGCCCCAGAACGAGGAGCGCCACCACGCAGCTCTGTACGGGAGACTGCATGGCAAACTCGCATCGCCCGGGCCTGCGCCCGGCAAACGGTCCCCGAACCTTGCATTCAGCGCAGCTGGAAACTAGGAAGGAGCTAATCACTGCTCAGCTCCGCCTCCTCTTCCACGTCCAGCCCGGATCACGTGAGCCGAGAGGAGTGGGGAGTCGGCCGCTTGGAATCTGAGGTTAATTTGGATTTAGTTTGCTAGTCGATGCGCCTGAATTGAGGAATTAGAGCCATGCAAACGCCCTCCGGAAGGGGCCGCTCAGTATCTTTATAGAGTTGATCGGATGGTGTCTGGTAATCCACAATCATCTTTCGTCGCGATACAGGACCTACTAATGTAAGTTTTCTCTGGTCTTCATGACTAATTCCTTCTTTCCTGGCTCGTCTTGCTCCTTCACTCGGAAGTCTCCTAAATTACTTTTGATCTCCTAACTTTAAGTCGGTTGCCTGATTTGAGCGATCCTTCTCATGCCAGCTGTACCAAGTTCAGGAGTAGAACACCAACAATAGAACACCAACAACTGGGTCGCAAATATTTAAATACAAAATATGCTTAGGTCCATGTCCTGTATGGAAATTAGATGATGTGGCCATTGTTTACTGTCAAGGGAGGGACAATATTATTCTAAAACGGGATCCTCTGTTCCTATACAAAGTGGAGAATTGATAGTGTTGCTTAATTGCTATCCTATTCCTTTTCCAGGAATACTTTTGAACTCGTACTGCCAGTTTGTGATCAACTCCAGCAAAACCATTTGCTATGACAGCTGTGTTTGCCTGCCTCTGTGACCTTGCCCGATAATGCTTTGATGATGGTTGAGATGGTGGATCCCAAGTGAATCAGTCCGAACTACACAGAGTCCAGCCATGTCAGAAGGAAGCCGGGAGAGTTGGAAGCAATGTTGCAGAGCAACTGCAAAGAGATTGCCGGTGCTAACTTGGCTTCCCAAGTATTCTCTGCAGTGGCTACAGCTGGATTTTATGGCTGGGCTGACTGTGGGGATGACTGTGGTGCCACAAGCTCTTGCTTATGCTGTGGTGGCTGGTCTCCCCATGGAGGTGAGGTTGTTCATGCAGGAGTGGCTATACTTAATGCTGTATTTGTACAACTTCAAAGTACATCTCCTCAGTCAGTATTCACGTTAGCAGTCAGACTGGCCTTGTTGCATAAAAGGTGCCTCATCTAATTGGAGAGTGAAGAGGAAAAGGATAGAAACTGAGGTCAAATTCAATTCCTTTTTAAAAAAATATTAGGGACTCTTGGTCTGACAATACCATTTGATTTTTGCTTGAGGGAAGGAAAGATTAGATTAGCTTTACTGGATGCCGGCAAGGGCTGGTGGCTGGAGGAAGGGATATTTGTGAAAGGAATGGCTATAACAGGCAATCTTTTGTGTTTTAAGCATTAGCTGATAATGAATTAGATAATGACCTCATTTATTCATAAAAGAGTATGGTGCTTCTGTTCTTATTTGGCACTTTTACAGAGAGATAAAGGAAAACCGTGTGTGTTATATCCATATGCTTTTGTTTTCCCACCTATCCTAGCCTAGTGAGAAATTGCAAGTGGGCTGGAACAGGAACATGACAAAAGGTGATAGAGAAGTTGCTGTATACCAAGTCAAAAGTCCAGGTGTGGGCAATGTGCTGTCCATTGGCATCCGCCATCCATTGGCATCTGCCTGGCTATCCCATATAATTTTTTTTAAAAAAAGAATTACAGGTAATCCCTGACTTGTGACCACAATTGAGCCCAAAATTTCTGTTGCGAAGCAAGACATTTGTTAAGTGAGTTTTGCCCCATTTGATGGCCCTTCTTGCCAGAGTTTTTAAGTGAATCACTGCAGTTGTTAAGTTAGTAACACGGTTGTTAAATGAATCTGGCTTTCCCATGGACTTGCTTGTCAGAAGGTCACAAAAGATGACCACATGACCCTGGGACACTGCAATTGTCATAAATATGAGCCAGTGGCCAAGCAGCTGAATTTTGATCACATGACCACGGGGATGCTGCAAAAGTGTGAAAAATGGTCATAAGTCACATTTTTTCAGAGCCATTGTAACTTTGAATGGTAACTAAATGAACTGTTGTAAGTCAAAGACTACCTGTATTTAAACATATTAATTGAGAAGCTGGTATGCTGCTTCTTTATTTTCTAAAATGCCTTTGTATCCTTGTATATGTATAGTTCTTTGTCTGGAAAGATAGTGCTTACTCAGGAAGAAAAAGACTAAAAATAAGCAGGAGTAGTAGAAAAGATTTCTAGAGGTATAAATGGAGCAATGTCTATAGTTTTCCTTCTGGTAAATGAGTATTTTGTATCTGGCCATGCCCATTGTGGCAGCCATTTTATGGATACCCACATGCTATGGGAAATTATTTTGAGATAATGACTTTTTCTCACAGCCAAGCCCTAAATGTATCTACCAGCCTAAAAAGATTGCTTGCCCTAGTTATCCTCTGGCAGATATTTTGTTTTCAGAGTTCATTTTATAAATTGGTTGCTAAATGTAGATTTGTCATAAAAGTTATTTTTTCATTAACTTTTTAATTGTGACTGTTCCTTAAATAAGGCAATTGCTAAACAAAAACTACCTGTACTTCTTTTTAAAATATTTTACCAAATTTTACATAGAATGCAATTTGTATTTTGTAGGCCTTTCATAACCTTTGTGGTTTTATTGGCTTACAGTTCTTCAAGTACTATGACTAGTCTCTGATGTTGCCTTCCTTTGCAGTATGGTCTGTATTCTTCCTTCATGGGTTGTTTCATCTACTGCCTTTTGGGGACCTCCAAAGATGTAACGCTTGGGCCAACGGCCATCATGTCCCTGTTGGTGTCTTCCTATGCATTCCATGAGCCTGCCTTGGCTGTTCTCCTCGCCTTTCTTTCAGGTTGCATCCAGTTAGCTATGGGGCTCCTCCATCTTGGTAAGACTTGGTGGGTTTTTTGTTGCTATTATTGGCCAGAGAAGATAATTGGGAATCAAATCTGACAAAAAGTAGAATTCCCCGTTTTTGTATCTTCAACTTTCTATAAATTGCAGGATATTTTTTCCAAATATCTGTGCAAAAGTACATCTCATTGAATTCACTTGGGTATCTGTCAGATAAGTGAGTACAGGATTACAGGCTCATTCAAACGCTTATTAAAGCAGGGGTGTCAAACTGCCAGCGCGTGGGCTGGACTCATCATCCCAAAACCGCGCCCACCCCATTGCCGGCAATGGCAAAAAAGCTCCGATACATCACGCAACGTTATGTGACGTCGTGAGTTTGATATGTCTGTATTAAAGTGATTTATAAACTGTTCCTCACCTTCTGGTAGATTCTGACACTGTCTGCTTATATATTTTTTGAACTGGAATGTCCATGTGTAATTACGATGAGAGATTCACACATGCTTCATTTAAATGCTGGATGTATTCTATTTAAAGTACTTTGGGATGGCAATGCTTAAATGGGATGAACGCCATAGTAAAAACAACTCCACAGATTATGCGTTCAGATCATTTTCTTCTTCCTAATTTTGTTCTGAATTTACAGCTAAATAGACAGTTTTCTACCTAAAACAGGACTTTATGTCCTATTTTAAGTAGCTGGAATGTAATCTCTTCCTCTCTAGTCCCCAGCTTTATCTAGTTCAGGGGTGTTCAAACTTGGCCCTTTTATAAAAGGGCCAAGTTTAAACACCCCTGATCTAGTTAGTTGCCAGGATACTTTTCTCCTTTAGAAAGGGAAGACTAGAGATCCTACAAAGGAAAGAGAAGAGGACATGATGGGCAAATACCTGAGGAATTGATAAGAAATCCAGCTGGTCTGACTCCCTGGGACTGGGTGATATAAAAGACGTAGTGGATTTTTTTTTTCATTCCTGTCAGGTTTCATTTTGGACTTTATCTCGTATCCTGTCATTAAAGGATTTACTTCAGCTGCTGCAGTCATCATTGGCTTCAACCAAGTCAAGGTAAGCTGTCTCTGTCTGCCCTTGGCCTTTACATTACAATTTTAGGTGAAGGGGCTTCTGTAGGAATAGGATAGAGGCCTGACCAGCCTATTAAGTAAAGGCGACTGTGATGGAATGTAGTGAGGAGATAGATGGCGGGATGTGTGCATTCCAGAAGAGTAAGAGGCAACTTGGCCTGTATTACAGTATGTGTGAGAGAAAGAAGGTGAAGACAGCTCCTCCAAAACAGTTCACAGTATATTGTAAATGCAGAGATAGAGTAGAATCTTGCTCAGTCTAGCAGGATTTTTGTCTATAGATGTGAAATCAGCTTGGAAAAATTGCCATGTGTCATTCTTGGTTTGGGGCCTAACAGTCACTGATCTTTGATAGTTAGGAAGTTTATAGGAGATATGGAAGATCTTAATCAAGAGAGACAAGTGGGTGGGGTGATTTTACATTCCAACATTTCTGCAGCTACTTCCTTTAAACTGGTGAAAACTGCCCTTAATTTTGCTCTGATTTCATTTCATGCTTCTTAGTTTCAAGCAAAGAGCTTGTTTTCTTGAGCTTTTCAAAATTCTGAAATTTCTATAATTGTAGAGCTCAACAGCTTCCTTTCCCTTACACCTCTCTCCTCTAAGCATTTCTGAAGATTGTGTACCATTGAATTCTAGGTTTCTTATAACATCAATATTTCCTCTGTGGTTGACCACAGCCAGCTTATTTGCAAGAGGCTGAGATGATAGCAATCACAGATACATTTCTTTGTGCTTGCGAGTGTCCAAAAAGAAGCCTCAGATCTTTTCTTATAGAAGGTTTGGCTTTGGTTCACTAGAAAACATTTACTGGCTTATCACATTAGCAAAAATATTGGTGGAAGTTGCTTAGGCCACCCCTTTACATCTGTCTTGGAAGATAAAAAAATTAAAAATATCAGAAACAATAAATAGAGAATAAAAGAACACTTTGAACTGTATCATGTTTTAAAATTTACAAATTGGCTCTTATGCTGTATATAATGAATTTTTATGCTAAAATGTATTAAACCTTTTACATGTAAAAATATCATCTTTGCATTTTAGCACATATATATGCTAAAATTTAAAATGGATTGTAATTAAGTGGAGAGTTGTATTAAAGTGTATTACAAACATGTGTTTCTTGAGAAGCTACTTAAGTCTCATGAAATGTATTATTCTCTCATATAGTATCAAAGACTACCTTGTTTCAGATGGCTTCTAGATTCCTTTCATTCATATAGTATACCCTCCATTGGGGGGGGTGTACATGTGCACATACGTCTGTCTGTTTTGTTTTACCAACTCCATTCTTGTGTGTATTTAATTTTGCATAGACACTCCTGGGTCTGCAGAATATTCCAAAGCAGTTTATCCTACAAGTGTATTATACCTTCTGCAGAATTACTGAGACAAGGTAAAAAAGTGTTTCTCTCTTGGTCCTTTTTTTTATTCCTCCTCTTCCTGTTTACAAAAGTAGGAAATTAGTGCAAAAATAGTACATAGAATTAGAATCTGCGAATTATAAATATTGAGGGTGAAGTTTGATTTCCGAGCTTGTGGGTGGGTTTCTGAATATTTCTAGATTTTTTAGCATTCCTAAACTCTGAAATTGTGCAAGTTCAAATATTGTCTGGGGAATCTTAGAATGGAGCTAAAAGCTGGAATGCTAAATGTTTGGGGCATATTCATTTTGTTCCTCATACCTTATGGCCAAATATTTTTTTCAATTAGGCAAAGAATAAATGAGCTTAAAACTGTAGAAATAGGAAGATAGCCTGACAAATAGCCATCTGATATTTTATGCTTAACCGGGTCATTTCTGAGTGGATTATGTTTATTTTGAGGCTAGCATTATTGTTCTTACAAAAGTTAAACTATATATACTTACAGGATATGTTATATGAATGAATGAAACTAAATCTGGGCTTAAGATTTTCAAGCTTTTAAATCTCATACTTCATATTTCCTTTAGCTTATTAAAAATCTAATTCACCAGCAGGAAAGCATGTGTGTTATTTTAATATAAAAAAAGTACAGGTATCTTGGTGGCTGAATAAAGTGGTGCGCAAACTGGGTGGCTTAGGAGAAGAGCCCATGCTTAAAATGCAAATAGGGTGGAGGTCTTTTATCTGTACAGAGTTGTTGCAGACCAATGTCATGGTTATCTGCAGGGCTGGAGATGCCATCCTTGGAGTGTTCTGCGTAATGGTGCTTTTGGTCCTGCAACAAATGAAAAAAGGAATCCCCAGGACCCATCCACTGGAACCCTTGCCTGTCAGAATCAGTCGATATATAATTTGGACAACAGCTACCGGTTTGTCCTGTCCTGTCCTCTAAGCAAATGTTTAATTTTCTTCTTCTTGGAAGTATCTTTTTCTTCGGAAGTATTTCATAATATTGTCATGATTATGGAATCCATCCCTATCGTTTGACTATGCAGGACTTTATTTAAGACTCTCTTCCTTTACAGCCCGTAATGCTCTTGTGGTTCTCTTTGCTGGCCTTGCGGCTTATTCTTTCCATGTGACCGGCTCCCAGCCTTTCAGCCTCACAGGAACGATTCCCCAGGGACTCCCTCTGTTCCAGTCACCACCTTTCTCCATCATCACATCCAATCAGACTATCGGTTTTAAGGAAATGGTGCAGGTGTGTATTTCTGTTTTATTAGTTCAGTTTCTGCCTCTCTGCTTATGTCAGCTCTTCTAGATAGACCAGACTAAGAAACCAATGCCAATGTAGTTCAGGACTACTTTTATTGTAATAGAATCTTGTAAGTCTGAATGCACTCTCCCTACCTCCTTATTATCTCTGTGTAAACTAGGGAAGGGGTTGCTTTAGAAGTTTTCTCAGTTTATTTTCTTGGCCTGGGCTCAGGTCCCTTTTCTCTGAGCATTGTTTTGGTCCTTCAAGGCCTTTCTTTATGCACTCTACAGTTTGATCACAACTTTACAAATAAATACTGTTAAACTGACAGCAGATTTGGTTTTAGTCACTCTCAAAAATGAAACAGTAGAGTTTAAACATGTTCATCAACACCTGTTACAAACATCTTTCCTTTTTTTTAAAAAAAAACCAGTCCTTGTTATATTGGCCTGGTTTTTTTATATGCTGAAATAAATGGCTGTTTGGATTGTTGGGTGTAATCCACATAGAATTATTTTTCAGTTAAGGGGTTTTTTTTAGTAATCAGACTCTTTGTTGAAACTTAAATAATAGTAGTAGCTTAAACACTTGCATCTTAAAAGCTTTGACACTTGCATCTTAGTGCTTTTGTACTGATGGAACTTGTTAGAATAGAGAATGTCATAATTTTGCAGCAAAAGTAAGTTTTCTACTCTTTAGTAATTCAGACTTATATAAGGTATAACGGAAGAATTTACTTGAAGGATGCATAGAAATGTTTTGAATAAGGTACATATTTTCTGCAGTTTATGTATATATGATGTCCTAATTATGCTAGTTGGCTTAAAGCATAAATTATTGGTTAATCTGAGAGCCAGTTTGGTCTAGTGCAGGGGTAGGCAACCTCGGCTCTTTTATGACTCATAGCTGACTCAGGAATTCTGGGACTTGAAGTCCATGAGTCCTTGGTCTAGTGGTTAAGGCACCAGCCTAGAAAGAGTTCTACCCCCAACGTAGCCATAAAAGCCAGCTGGGTGACTTTGGACCAGTCACTTTCTCTCAGCCCAACCACCTAACAAGGTTGTTGTGCAGAAAGTAGAAGGAGAAAGATATGTTGGATATGTTTGCTATAAAAATAAATAATAAATCCAACAGCTTAGATTTGGACAGAGCAACTCTCAAAAGCCTAAAAGACCAAACCATCATAATCTTTGTCTGGCAGACAAAGACCAGTTAGACTGGGGTATATGGAGAGTGCACAGATAGGACCTGTTAGAAGTACCTTAAAGCAGCTACATTTTCTCCCGGTCTAGAGTGGTTGCCCTCCATATTTGATCCACCATCTTGAGAAAAGACACATTTGATTTAAGATATTCCTTCCAAATCACATAATGTTCTTTGAATCCAGATTTCTGCATTCAATTCTAGGATTTACTCTATCTCTCTGTTACATTTTCTCCATTGATATGGGACATTCCTTTTGTGGCCATAGTTCCTTCTTGATCAAAATTGCAGAGAAATACAGCTTCCCTCTTCCATCCCTGCAGGCCATTGGACCTGGCTTGGTGGTGGTGCCCCTCATGGGACTGCTGGAGACGGTTGCTATTGCCAAAGCATTTGGTAGGTTCATTATCTTGTTTGCACACTGAGGAGGGAGGGAGGGGAGGCAGGACTATACTTCCCTGCACACCTGACCACCTGAAATGAAACTTTACTTCTATTTGGAGATAGTGGCTTCTGGTCACAAATCACAGTAAGCCATAGTCTATTTTACAGTGGATTATTGAATAAATCACAATTAGCTGGAAATGGGATGTGGTTGACTGGGAGTCACCCAGAGTTGATTATAGGATGGATAGCTATATAGGTATTTTAAATCAATCAGTCAGAGTCAATCAATCAATCACAATGCACTAAATGCACCAACAATTGGAGTTTGGAGTTTTTTTTTGTTTTTTTTTTGAAACTGGTTGGGGAATGATTACTTCCACAATCCCAACTAGCATAGTCCGGGATATGAGATACATTGGACATTTCAGCAACATCAAAAGGAAGCAGGCAATATACTCTTGGACTAAAATATGAAAATTTCCCTAGAGTAATAGTAATTCAGCATAATATGTAGCTGTTTTCTTGTCTCTTCCTGCGTTGAAGTGATAGAAACTCAACTTTGTCAGTGGAAGTATTAGGCAGAGAATCAGAAAGAAATCTGTTACCTGAATTCATGACTGTTTTTTTTTTAGTCTTTATTTCTCCGGAATATAAATTCTAAAGTCCCTAACTAGCTTAGTCAGTGGATGTGCTGGTTAGGATGATCAGTAACATAATCAGCCGTACTGCTTTAAGGAAGTATTTTCTAGGATTATCTACTGCCCCTTAACAGTATTTCTTTTAGCTTCACTTATTCCTGTGCCTATAGTGTCTTGAAAGCTTCTTTTCTGTGGAAAATGGTGTAATAAATTATTCTTGGTCTTATCAATATGTGATGATACTTCATTTTTTTTCTTATTAGCATCTCAAAATAAGTACCAGATTGATCCCAACCAGGAACTGCTAGCCATGGGTAAGAATTTTGCATAAATGCCTTGGTTGACTGGATAAGGCAGTGGTGGCAAACCTATGGCACACGTGCCAGAGGCGACACTCAGAGCCCTCTCTGTGGGCACACATGCCATGCCCCGGAGATGGCAACTGTCCCTCTTCAACCAGCTGCCTGCTAACTCACCAAGATCCCACGTGGCCGGATGCATCCCGGCACGGCTAGTTTCCCTCCCCCCGTCCCGTCCCTCCTGGCTTTGCATGCTCTCTTTTTCCCCGGGCATGACCCACTGTATCGCCTCCTCAGCTGTTGGCGGGCCATCCAGCTCAGAGGTGGCTTCTTTGAACTGCTGGTGGTGGGCTGCGGACCCCCAGAGTGTGCCGGTTGAGGAGCCGGCAGGCTGTGGCTGCTGATGGACACCATCGGCCCCCATGCACTTGCTGGCCTCTGTGTCAGGAAGCAGCCTGACACAGCCCTTGCCTTGCCCCAGGCGTCCCTCCCCACGAGCAACGTTGAGGTGACCATGCCAACCTTGGCCACATCCAATCTGCCATGACCACCACAGCCATGCCCACCCAGTGGCCCACGCCTACCTGGCACCTGACAATAAATATGTGGGGTTTAGGTTGCAGTTTGGGCACTTGGTCTCTAAAAGGTTTGCCATCACTGGAATAAGGTATACCTAAGCCAAGTAGGAATGAAGCCTGTGGGGGTGTGAATCTGGGCACTCCAGTTGTCAGGTGCAGTTATTCTAATTAGCAGGTAAGCAGAAAGAATCTTTGGAACAGGCTTCATTGGAGAAATCTCATTTTTACCTCACTTTCAGCTTTCATATTTTGGGTAAACAGAGTTGGAAGATATGTTGTGGACTAATCTATACTCTGTAGACAATCCAGAGGAATTGGGGAGAGTGATCCTAATGGCTCTAAGAGTCCAGGAGAGAAGTGAGCAAGTCTTGCAAATCTCACTGATTCTGTTGCTGCCTTTTTTCCTTGGTGCTCTCTAGGGTTTACCAACCTGCTGGGATCCTTTGTCTCATCCTATCCAGTCACAGGCAGTTTTGGCCGGTAAGGAAAGCACTCTTTCTTTCTCTTTCTTTGGTAAATGCAGGATATTTACATAGGTAAATAAACACACATAAGGTAATTTGAAATAGTATGCCATGGATTCATTGCCCCTTAAAAAAGCTTTTTATAACATTTTTACTTCATCCTTATGGAGTAGTAATAGTAGTAGAAGGTAGAAGGTAGTTCATGTCTATTTCATGATAACATATGCAGAACTTTAGACAGATTGCATTTTACTATAAAGTTATTTTTCCTTATTATTCAGCTAGACATAGCTATTCAAGAATCCAGGTGAAGCTGGATACACTTTTTTATGTTCAAAAATGATTGTGAGTTAATAAGGTTAGACAAAGGTAATGCTTGAGGCCGATTTGGGAGGCTTCCTAGAATAGAATAGAGCTGGAAGGGATCTTGGTGGTCTTCAGTCCAGCCCCCTGCTCAAACAGGAGAACCTATACCATCTCAGACAAGTGACTGTCTAGCCTCTTTTTAAAAACCTCCAGTGATGGAGCGCCCATGATTTCTGGGGGCAAGCTATTCCACTGGTTAATTGTCCTCACTGTCAGGAAGTTTTTCCTTAATTCCAAGTTGCTTCTCTCTTTGATCAGTTTCCAACCATTGTTTCTCATCCTTCCCTCTGGTGCTTTGGTGAACAACCTGGCCCCCTCTGCCTTGTGGCAGCCCCTCAAATACTGGAATACTGCTATCATGTCACCCCTGTTTCTTCTTTTCTTTACACTAGCCAAACCCAAGTCACGTAGCCGTTCTTCGTATGTTTTAGTCTCCAGGCCTTTGATCATCTTAGTTGCTCTTCTCTGAATTTTTTCCAAACTCTCAACATCTTTTTTGTGATATGGTGACCAAAATTGGCAGCAGTATTCCAGGTGTGGTCTAGGTTTTATAAAGCGGTACTAATACCTCGTGTGATCTTGATTCTATGCCTCTGTTTATATACAACCCAGGATTGTATTCCTAGATTTTTTTTTAACTAGAAACAAGAGGAAGGATGGTTTGCCCCAGGAAAAGTTTCTTGTCTTGGAGCTGAACTTTGGACTGAAAACATTTTCTCATAACTGCTCACAGTCTGGCGCTTAGATCTTACTCTCTTTGGCTGATTACTGACACTGAGGGGTTTGTTTTTTTTCTTAACTGAAGACCACATCCTTGTAGAATATGAAGGGGAAATATATAGGTGAAGCAGTGCAGAAATATTGTGGACACAGAAAAATAAGACAAACTTTTTATTAGAACTTCTTCATTTTTAATTGTTTTAATGTTGATTTTCTTCCAGCCTCTTCCATTTGATCTGGTCATAAATCATAATTTGCAAATTCATAATTGAAGAATGTAAGGAAAAATCTAGGGGAAGCATAGCCCGCCTTGTGAAAAGGGCAGTAGGTTGCATGCATACATGCCTTTGATACTTCTAGGCTTAAAATAAGGTTAATCCTTTTGCTTATAATGGCATTGCTCACATTCTAGGACAGCAGTGAATGCTCAGACTGGTGTATCTACTCCTGCTGGAGGACTAATCACAGGTAGGAGAAAAGAATAATGCCTTTGCTGAAGGAGAATAAATTGGAAGCAGAAGGTTATAAATTACAAATGTGTCAACACAAATATCCTATGTGTAGCTATCCTTTTTTCATTAAACCTGCCCAAAGAGCCCCTGCAGAGAAGTAAATAATACAACTAAAGAGCATCAAATACTATATGCAAACATAGATTCTTGATACACAGCAGGCAAACATCTAAAAGGTTAATAAGTTCATTATGGCAATTTTTTCCTGGATCATAGTCTGCTTCATTAGATGCATGGGGGAAAGAGAGTGCGCGCACACACACACACACACACACACACAGTTGCAAGTGAGGGAATAATAATATGAGAAGAAATTGAAATACAAGTAATTACAGTGATAATTACTCAATTATGCTGGACATTCCTAACATGTTGTAATAGGTTACAATCATTGGGGATTCACAAATTAAATTTATATGCCACCAAATATTTCAAAATTCCCAGCAGTTTTCAAAAATAGAAAGCACACAGTAAGAACTCAGCCACCTGTGGTAAGCCCCAAAGTAACCCAACTCACCCAGCCAAAGCAGAAACAGCAGTCAAACTAAAATAAATAAACCAAGATTGTTAATGTGGGAGTGATGGTCCCTCTGGAATAGTATGGTTTTTCACCAGTTTCTTGTTGGCTGTTGCAAGTTCACTTATGACATTTAGTTGCTTTTATCATTACACTTCATGGAAAACCTCTGGCATAATGTGCCCAGCCCTGCTCTGCCACCCAACATAGTTGCAGCTTATTGTAAACTTGCATTTTGACTCCATAATATGGGTGTCTCCTTTTTTTTGTAGGGGCCTTAGTACTCTTATCCCTGGCCTACCTTACGTCCCTCTTCTACTACATTCCCAAGACAGCACTGGCAGCGGTCATCATCTGTGCTGTGGCTCCAATGTTTGATGCCAGGATCTTCCGCACATTATGGCAGGTTAAAAGTATGAGCATGGATATCTTATCCTTCCCAAAGATGGTCGGTTAGAAAACATTTACTACTCCCCTAAAGACACTGAAGATAGTTGGAATTCACGCCTGAAGGACTGTGTATGTGGGAGAAGCAAAATGGAAGTTCCTTCTTCTCTGTAGCTTTTCTTAGTGCTGACTTGATATTGACTTTCTGAAATTGGATTAATCTGCTATTTCTTTATTAAGAAAGAAGGAGTTGACTTAGGACTTGGCAAAGCTGAGATGCTTTTCATTGTTGTACAGACTTTTAAACATTTAGGATGCAGGCTGAGGCGATTAGAACCGCATCTTGGAAGCCCTTTGGGCCCAGCCTTTTCTAAGACCACATATATTGGATGGGGGTGAAGGATCTGATGGGTCATAAGACCTTGCAGCTTTGTGTTATAACCAGTGACCTACAGTATTTAAGTTAGATCTAGAACTGGTTTAAGTTCTAAACTTCTTCTTTATCCTGGTGCAAGGGCAGCACACTGTTTCGTAAAAACAGGAAAGCATAATATCCTTAACCTGCCCCCAGACCGTTACAAAGACAATGTCAGACCATTTTTCGGTCACTTTATATCGATGTTAATTTCCTACCTCTGCTAGCAGAAGTGCAGCTGTGCAGTCTCTCTGCTAAGCTACATTTCCTTGTCTAATGTCAAGCTTAGAGAAGGTAGAGGGGGAAACAGTATGCTATGTACATGTTGTCTTTTGAGGTATAGTTCTAATCACTTTCTTGCAGAACTTATGTCTACACTCTTAAATTGTTTGTACATAACAATAGAGCTAGTTTTCTTTGGAACTGCCTGCTTGTTTTGTCCTCTTTTGCTGATGGGGTGGATGTGTTCTTGATTGAATTCTCTGTTCTTTTTTCACAGGGCTAGACCTGGTGCCTCTAAGTGTTACGTTCTTTGTTTGTTTCTGGGAAGTGCAATATGGCATCATAGCAGGGGTGATAGTTTCTGGAATTCTCCTGCTCTACCCCCTTGCCAGGCCTCGAATAGAGGTTGGTTGGTTTTTAATTCACTGAGTCAGGTGCAGGCAGGGTTTGGAGAAGACTATTTCCTTAGGCCAGAAAACAATACATGGCAGCTGTACATAGCTTATCATAGAATAATTTCTCTTTTGCTTGTATCTGCTCTGACTAATTGGGCTCTGCTTAGGGGGAAACAGATAAGGATAGACTTAGGCACTGCTGTATCAGGATGTCAGCATTTATATATAACATAGGAATATAGAGACATTTATTCCTGTCCAATTTTTAATTCTACTGAGACTTCATATAAATAAAAGATACTACATAAACAAGAAATGGTTTCATAGGCACATCAGGAAGCATTGTGATGGCTCAAACTTACTCACTTCGCCTTGTGTTCTTTCCCACAAAACTTTCTACCTTTTTCTCCAGGTTGTAAGGGACAATGCAATAATCATAAAGCCTGAGAATGGCCTTCAATTCCCTGCAACTGACTTCCTCCGGGATATCGTACACAAGCAAGCTCTATCAGGTAAACTGTATATGCAGACTTCCTGAAATGAGACTTCAGTACATCTCATCTAAGAAAATTAATATTCCTCCTCTTGGGTGCCTCTGGAAGAATAACTGCTCCAGGTGATTAGCTTCATGTCATTCAACAGAAAATAAGTAGGATTTCAAGAATGTTTCAGTATTTCGGTATACCTTTTGAGGAACTGTCCAAAATGCATAGATATTGGGACCAAATGAGAAGAGTTTCCAGCTAATAGTTCTTGAGCTGAACTGATGGAACTTCAAAATAGATTTTTAAACAAACATATGAAGTAAGATAAAGATTTTAATTTAACAGAATGAACCATGTCCTTGATTAGTAAGAAAAGCATGCAACCTGGCCAGATTCTCTTGCAAATCCCCTGAATAGCTTGCTAACGCTTTGACTGATCTCTTCCTTGCATTCTTGTTTTCTGACTTCTTTTCTTTGAATGAAAGGGGTAGTTTGTTTGGGGTGAATGATGCTGGGCAATGTGAGAAGGCTCATCTGCCCCACATTAACCTAGAGATGGAAGAGGCCTGAGGAAGAAAATTATAGCAGTTTATTCCTGTCTCTTTCAATGGTCTTCCTAAATCTTCCAAGTGCTAGAAAAAGTAGGATATGAGGCCTGCAAGGAATACTGTGGGGGAATGTCCTCTTTCCCATCTTGGCCTTCTATGAAATAGTCTTGTCTTCTCCCCAAACTGCACTCTCAAATGTCTTGCACCTCCCACAGGTTGTAGCCAGACTGCTCAACCAAGTATGCTGCAGTTAAGGACGATCACAGTTCCAAAATGCCAGGAAAGGAGGGCAAAGTCATAATATATGTGATGGCAACCTGAACCAGGAACTGCTGTAGCTTCCCCGTCTGTCAACCTGAATACCAAAGGAGAAAACTCAGAATGATTTTGAGTTTTCTCCTCCCTCCTTTTCTATTTAGGAAGAGAACAGCACACTCTTCCTTTTGCAATTTTGTGTTATTATTTTTCCGGAAACGCACCAAATTCTGATGATGATAGATCAGGATCTCATGGTGAAGATTATCTTGGTTTGTAAAATGTGTGCAGTGTCGTTTTCGTGTATGCAGGTTATTGTGCTTACCTCTTGGGGTTCAGCAGCTAATTGTTTTTGTCCCTTGGCACCTGTTTCACTCAAGGTTCTTATCAAAAATAAAACACAACCCACAAGCACAAAGACTGATATTTCTATAATAATGTACAGGGTTCTTAGTCTTTTCTTCTCTCCATTTTTTTCTTGAAACTGTAATGTGAGATTAGGTTAGGTGGGACGTGTAGTCTGTTCTGTATCAGTTGTGGCCGTGGAAGGAGTTGAATGTGTGTGTGTATAGAGATTCAAATTGTAAATTTCCACAACTTCATGCTGTCAAAGAATTGAATTTCAACTTTCTGGATTGCTAATCAGCATGAATTGATAGTATGAACCCTGAGAGTTGGAATCTAACACACTGTGAAGGCAAAGTTGAGCCTGTGTGATTTTATAATATAGTTCATATTGGTGATTTTACATTTTTGTACGTGTATTGATATTAATTCAATACCTTATTTTATTTGAGCATATGAATGCATTTTTTTCTTTTTATTTCCAGTCTTAATTGTCAGAACTTCCTTCTACTCAGATCAAACTTACTATTGGGAAACACTCTGCTAAATAAAGTTAATTTTATATTAAATAATAAAAGCAGGATGATTTGCATTTTTAAAAAGTTATTTAATTTACATTAAAAATTATATAATTTGGGGGAGATGGATGCAAAATTTCCAAAAGTTGTGAACCTAAAAGATTTATAAAATGTTCTTCCATTGTTATTGTTTTCCAAATCTGGACCAAAATATTGAACTGTTAATGTAGATGCCTAGGAATTGGACTGCATAAGGCAGTGATGGCGAACCTTTTAGAGACTGAGTGCCCAAAACCTGCCTCTGCCTGCCCTGCCCTCACCCCGTTCCTGCCCCTGCCTGCCCACAGGGCCACCCACTGCCTCCATGGCTCACCGCAGCGCCATGGTGGCCACGCCCTCCGCCCATGTCCCGCATCATCTGCATGCGACGGGAAGCGAGGGCGGAGACTTGTCCCACCTGCTTGGCTGCCATGACCTTGGCTGCATTGCTCTGCGTGGACTGCGCCTGGGGGGCTGCTGGTGAGGAGGGGGCTGTGGGTGGAGGTGGAGCTGGGGGGGACAACAGGTGTGCCCACAGAGAGGACTCTTGAGTGCCACCTCTTGCACGCTTGCCATAGGTTCACCACCACTGGCATAAGACCTTGTGCTCTTCATTCTTTCAGCACACATAATATTGTCTTTCTTCAGAGCCTCAGCAACGTAAAGTCATCCTGGACTGTAGCCACATCAGCAGGATTGATTATACTGTGGTACTGGGTCTGTCTGAACTTCTGCAGGAATTCCACCACCGTGAACTTCATTTGATCTTCATTGGCTTGCAGGTGGAAGTTTGACTGGGAGTGTGTGTGCGAGGGAGGGGGAACGGGGGCAAATGTAAGTTGTGGCTGAGTTATTTAACCTTAAAAAGTCTCAGAGGCCTAACAATTCAGTGACAAAGTATATACTTTTCATGTAGAAGATTTTAACCCTTGAGGATGAGGAGATGAATGTGGGTAATCCTCGATTTACAACCACAATTAAGTTCAAAATTTCTGTTGCTAAATGAGATATTTGTTAAGTGAGTTTTGCCCCATTTTACAACCTTCCTTGCCACACTTAAATGAATCACTGCAATTATTAAGTTATTAACATGGTTAACTGAATCTGGCTTTCCCCTTAACTTTGCTTATAAGGTGGTCACAAAAGTGATCACATGACCCAGGACACTGCAACTGTCATAAATATGAGTCAGTTGCCAAGCCTCCAAATTTTGATCATGTGACCCTGGGGATGCTGCAATGGTCATAAGGGTGAAAAATGGTCATACGTCACTTTTTTCAGTGTCATTGTAACTTCAGTCACCAAACGAACTGTTGTAAGTCAAGGACTACCTGAATAACAAATTAAGCTCTTGAGGAAATGCTCTCAATTTCAGCATCCCCTCTAGCCTTTACCAGGTGCTGGCTAGGAATATTGACATGCTAATCCGTATTGTGTCTGCATAGTTGTAATGTTGTTTCCTACATAGCCTGATGTAGAATAGCCACATATGTTCATAAATTAAACATACCAACAGTGCATAATTGAAACACAACATTTTCAAAGTCTCTCTGGAATATAGTCTGCACATTCAAGCTATATGGGCTGCTTTATACTGTGTCAGCCCACCGAGTTATCTAGCACTGTATTCTTTCCTTTGACCCAGAAATTTGTCTAATCCTACCTTTTAGCCAGAGAAACAAAAGGTGCAACTTGAAAATTTACAAGGGATCTGTTCTGCCTTTGAACCATCCACCCTCCCTCCCTCTCCTATAAGCTTTTGTGAAAAAAAAACCTGATTAATTCTCCCATTTTCCTTCATGCCCACAGGCTCACGTGCTTGAAGTCTTGCTGGCTGCTGACCTGAATGGCTTTCGTAATTTTTCCACCCTAAAGGATGCAAGTAGGCAAAGATCTAAAGAAAGTTCACTGATTCTTAAATAGACATTGAGTATTCAGGGTTGTGGTTCTTTGCCATATAATCTGAAGTTTTCATCTTCAGAAAAAAAAAAATATTTCCCAAACTGTAGTCTTATCAGTTGAAAAGTTAGTATAAGTAGTCCTTCCTTAACAAGTATAATTGGGACAGCAACTCTGTTATTAAGCATCATAGTTGAGCAATACATCATATGATCGCAACTTACAATTTTACTGCACCTTCTCCATTGACTCAGCTTGTTGGAAGCTGACTAGAAGTGTGCAAATAGGATTTGTGATGACTAGGATTGGATGAAAGTGTAAGGACTCACTTCAACCCCACATCTTAAGAAAGCAGAACTCTTGGAAACAATTTCTTCCAATAGGAACTTTTATTAAGAGTAATTGATAGCAGGCATAATTGACAGGATCTGAGATTTCCCTCGTGGAGTGACAGATTAAGGTATCCCCAACCTAGACCCCACCCCAATAGTCTGCCCGTCCGGTATGGGACGGCCAATCCCCAGGTGTTAAATCCATTGTGGGAAAAGGGGAGATAACATCTGCCCGTCTCCAGTTCACACAGCGATGGTCTGCAGCTTCTTCACACCTTCTTCTCAGAGCGTAGAAATAAACCAGACACTAGGTTACATTACTTATTTCCTCCCTTGTTCTAACTGACAGTTTAGGAAAATAAAGTTCAGAGAAAGACATAGCACAAGAAGCAAATTGTTACACTGTAGCGGCAGCGGACACAGGCAATAAATGAAGCAAAGGTTACATTGTAGCGAATAGAGGAAGCAGAAGCAATAACCCCGCAGGCACATCCCCCCTCCCCCTTGAGAGTATGGCAGAAGCCAGGGAAAGGTGAGATTTGTTTTTAAGTCAGAGGGGATAGATAGAAATAAAATAGGAATGGGTTGTGACAGAAAGTTACTTCTCCAGCATTGTCCTCACTTTGGGTAGTTGTTAAAAGAAGACTGTCTATACCAGTGGTTCTCAACCTGTGGGTCGGGACCCCATTTGGGGTCAAACGACCATTTCACGGGGGTCTCCAAACAATGCAGTCCGCCATTTTTTCCCCCTTTTCTTTGGCCACGCCCCTGGCACCTGGTGATGTATAAGTGGTTGGGGATCACCACAACATGGGGAACTGTATTATGGGGTCGCGGCATTAGAAAGGTTGAGAACCACTGATCTATACACTCTTGGAAGAAGGTGCGTATTGTGAGGTGTAGTCTAACCCTCAGCCTGAACAATGAAACAGAACAAAAATAAACATGAAGAGAACAGGATGGGGGGAAAATTCAGCCAGAAGTTGTGAATTATAAGCAGACTCTTGGTTGGGGCCAGTCTAGTCTTACTGGTTTCTTGCTGGGCAGGGATGATACAGCTACCAAGAGCCTCTTAAATGACTGCTATGGCAGAGTCCAGCATTATTTTTTCCTTGCTTTTCCTTCTTAACACAAAGGAAGATCAGAATATAAGTATTTTCTTACAGTGAGCTAGGCTCTGTACAACTCAGATTTTTTTTCTTGTGCTATTTTCCTCGAGATTAAAGGGGGAAACCTCCTGGTGATCTTCTCCCCATGCAAAAATCTTCTGTTTCTCCATCTATTGCTGGGGAAAGATGAATGTGATGGTCCCAGCAGGGAATGTAGCTTTTTGAGGAATATCTTACTTGCCCTTAAGACCATTCAAATCCAAAAGCAACAAGAAACTTGGTTCAATCCAATGTCAGATATTATCAGTTGACCTTAATGATTTTTAATTCATCTGATTTTAATTTTTGTACAAGTAGCTTGGACATAATAGATCCCTTATAAAGAGAGTACAAATGAATTCTATTTCTATGCATTATTTATGTGTTCTTCTGGCTTTTAACCCTTAGATTATTTGTCTAAAATAAGCAAGATTTGAGTTATGGAAACCATAGTGTATCAGATTCATAGCATAATGTATATTGTCTGTTGTAGAAAGAAGTCTTGGAGACTTGCACGTTGCCTTTGAAGACATGATGGATGACATACAGACTACAGCTGGGATGATCCAGTGAAGGAATTGAGCTCATTAATGACTATGTCTGTCCAGTGGGAGAACCTCAAACTGGAGGATAAAGTTTTGGGTCCATAGAATGGCATAGTAGAGTCTTAGCAGAGTCTGCACTCTATGATTTATGGGCATTAATACATATCTTTGTCAGGATTAAGAAATCATTGGCATTTTGGAATCCTCTTAATAGGAAAAATGAGGAACTTCAGCTCAACAAATAAAGATAAAAACAAATAATTGAAAATCATTTCAGGAATCTAGGAAAAACTTGTGAAGTCAGTGTGGGTTAAATACTTCTATGACTGTAGCTTATCACATTGGTGCCTCTAATATATTTCTGAAATTAATGATATTATTAATGGAACACTATTCTTCAGAATTGCACTGTGTATGGCAAATTGTTTCCAGCTATATACTGTTATCTCTAATATTCATTTCAGTAAAAATTGAAATGTTAGATCCTTTCTTTTGTGGAGTTTCTATTAAGCCAGATTATTTGTCCTTGTATAGATCAACTTATGTATCTGATGCATTTGAACCACTTTTCTACTTGCCATTCCATTTTTTGCATAGTCGCTGTCATCCACTTGCGGCATTCTGATGTGTCCTGGTTATTTATCTGGCTGCTCAGTTGTCAAGAACCTTCACACACCAGCAAGACATTGATTAAGTATCATTAAGTGTTGACTCTTGGTATCCATGTAGACAGGATTTGTCCAAGATCTGTGTTCAACCTGGCATGTCTCCTAATGGTGCCTTCATTGCTGTTACAATCAAGTCCATTCAGCTTGCTATTACTTGTCCTCTTCTCTTTCTCTTCCCCCCCCCCCCCCAACATCTTGAACTTCTCAAGCGAACTGGTTCTTGGTATAAATCTGTCCAAAATACTATCATTTGACCCTGGTCATTTATACATTGAGTGAGAACCCTGGATTAATTTGTACTATGACCTATTTATCTGTTTTTTTTTTACTAGCCATCCATGGTATTCTTAGAAGTCTTTTTTAGCATCAATGTTCAAAAGCATAAATGTTCTATTTTACTTCTTTAAAGTCCAACCTTCATAGCCATAGAGTGTCACACTGGTATTCAAGACTTGTAGAGTTCTGATATAGACATGACATGGCATCTAAGCATTTTTTTCCAAGGCTTTCACTGCTATCCTGTTGGTATGTGACTTATTTTTTGACTGTTGGTTTGTTAACTGTTGATAGTGTTAAAAGGCAGACAGTATCCACCTTTTCAGCGTTGTCAATTCTAACGCTGGTTGTACCTGTTGTCATTAGCTTTTCTTTATATTTAATTGGCATCCCATTTTTTGACATTGTGCTCTTTGATTTTCGATACTAGACCTTGCATATCATTTGCATTTTCTGCTATCAGGGTAGTGTCATTAGCATACCATAGATTATTGATGTTTGTTCCTCCAATTTTAAAGCCATCCTCTTCTAGCACTGCTCAACTTACTCCTATATATAATCGCTATATAATCAAGATATAGGTTGAATAAAATTAGTAGTATGATCAGTTTGCTGAACTGGAACAATGTTTCATCTGGACTAATTTGTTAAGGATTTTACATGAGGACAATGAGATTTTCTGAGATTCCTATTTTCCTAAGGACATTTCACAACTTGACACAGTTGACATAATTAAAGGCCTTTCTAGATTCAATGAAGCATATACTGACTTATTTTTGGCTTTCTCAATTATCCAGTATGCATTGGCAATAATGTATTGTGTTGCTTGGCTTTTTCTAAAGCCAGTTTGAATATCTGGTATCTTCTTTCCACGTAGAGCTCTTCTTTGCATTGAATGATTCTAAGAATTATTTTAGTAGCAGGTAATATTAAGGATATTGTGCAATTGTTTGGTTAAGTTTCCTTTCTTTGATACTGATATGCAGAGTGATCTCTTCCAACCTATTGTCCACTATAGTATTTTGATTCATCTAATCTTTTTGTGCTGAACTATTAACAGCCACAGGTAGAAAAGATCACTGATCCCATAAGCAAAGAAGCTGAGGGAGGGAAGACTACAGATAATCTGTGAAAAAAAAATGATATAAATTTATAGGAGAGACTATAGTTGTTTCCAGGTTGCACAAAAAATGGCTCAAAACAGTGTTGGGAGCCAGGATGCCACATTGGAGCTTTCACACAAACTTCATTCCAACAAATTTAAGTTTTTAATTACTGCAAAAAAAAAAAAAATCAGTGTTTTCTTATAATCTGTTTTTATTCTTCATTTTTCATAAATACTGCAGAACTGATTGGAGAAGTGAAAGTTATTGCTACACCAGTTTCTATTTCCCTTTTCAACAGGCAGTATTATTTCTCAGCCATGCTTCCTATTGCAATTTTTTAAAAGTTGATCTTTTATTCAACAAAATTGATTACTATTTGAGCAGAGTCATGCATATGAGATGGGTGGCCATATAAATCTGATCAATATGCTCACCATGGAGGAAGTAGTATCTCAACACATACTTAGGATCAAAAAATCTATTCTCCCTTACTCTAAAATCAAATTTCTTTAGGAGGGGGAGGACATGCATTGTCCCTGCTGTTAACTGCCAACTCTTTAGTAACATGTTGGAAATCACAGTGATACCTGTTTGTAGACGCCAATCTATCATGAAACAGACAGCAGTTAAATAAATTGTGTAAAACTCTGGTTGACATGTTCAGGTAACCCAGGAGTTTATTTCTTTGAACAAAAATGTATGTTGAATGTTTAGTTCTGGCAATCTCTGAACAATATTTATCATTGGTTAAATCTTTATATGTTTTTGTACAATTACTGCAGTGGAAATTATAAGGATGGTATACATCCAAGAAGACACTGAGGATAAAAATTGTTTTGATTTGCAGATCATATCCAGTAAACTGAGCTCTTCAGTCTTCATGTCCTGTCACTGAATCAAAGTCATCAAACATAAATGAAAGTGATACCAAGATCAGCATGTTATATTTTCTTAGAGCTGATTTCCTTCTTTTTATCTCCTCCTCTCGTTTAGAAGTCAATTTATTATTTCACCCTCTGATAGAAACATCTGAAGTTGTAATGGAGATGTTTTCCTTTTGGCATCCAGCATTCTGAAACTGCCCCCTCTTGATTTATGGGGGATGATTTGCACACACACACACAGAGTTTTATTTTTTTCTTTCTCTCTGCCCTTATTTATTGCTTCATTGCTCCCTTTAGGTTTCTGAGAATAAACAAGCAGCAGGAAATAACCTATCAGAAGTGACTGCAGTTTAAACTAGACAGGGCAGCCCCTTTTATATTGCCACTATGATTAGCATCACCTTCCTTTTCTCAGCCTTCCTGTTTGTTCTTTCAAAGTGTGACTTTTCATACCACAGTTTTTTGCTTTAGGCACAAGCTGGTAACCTCTAACCAGAGTTAGTGGGGGTAAAACTAGACTCCAGTTCTTGCAAGGAGAGAAAGGAATTAATGTGAAACCTATACATCAGTGGTTCTCAACCTGTGGGTCAGGACTCCATTTGGGGTTGAACGACCATTTCACGAGGGTTGCCAAACGCAGTCCGTCATTTTTCCCCCTTTTTCTTAGTTGTGCTACTCCCTTTTATTCTATTGGCTTTTGAAAGCCAATAGAATAGACTCTCTTGAATAGAGTCTAATTCTATTGGCTTTCAAAAGCCAATAGGATTGTCCAGGCTGTCTCTGCCCTGCTGAGCCCGCCAAAAGTCCCATTCTGCAAACGGTGCTGCACCAGTTGTGTAGTCCTCGACTTACGACCGGTTGGGGGTCGCGGCATTAAAAAGGTTGAGAACCATTGCTGTACATAGAGCTTTAATCTGGAAAAGGCTCAGTAGTCCATCATCCAAGAGAGAAACTGAAGTCTCAACAAGACAGCTGCATGAATCACATTTACCTTTTAAATTAAGAAATGCCTGGAGCTTCTACCGATGCATATGCAGATTTGAATAATCGTTTTTCACATTCTCCAGCTGAGCAAGTGATGATGAGCTATTTATATTTGAGCATCATTCTGCAGCAACAAGTACTCCTGAACTGCTGAGACAGCATAAACTGGGGAAAGTGAAAGGGATATATACTGCTCAAAAAAATAAAGGGAACACAAACGTATAGGATCCTATACGTTTGTGTTCCCTTTATTTTTGTGAGCAGTATATTTCTAAATAGGCAGTATTAGAAGAATTTACTTGGTCTGATTTTCTGAGCTGGGTCATGAGTAAACATATAATATGCAATAAACCCAAAGGGGTAGTTGCTAAAAGTAAAGTTCATTCATTCAACCACATACAATGGTTGGAGGTAGTCTATCTAGTTAGGGGTCTACCTGTAGAGGTGTATATATAATGACAAGCAGGCTTTGCTGTTTAGATACACAGATTGAGATGTTCCTGCCCTGGGTTTTGATCCTGAGATATATTGCCCTGAAGATGTGTGAAGGCCAGGAAGGAAGATCCTCCCTAGATGTGGATTATTACGAGGGGATCTGGCGTCTTCCCTTGAGGCATGGCAGTCAAACTCGCCATGTCACGTGTTGCGACATATCGCGACCCTTTTTGCATTGGAGTGGGCGCAGCTTCAGTATGATGAAACCAGCCCATGGGCCGGCATTTTGTCACCCCTGAGGGAATTCTTTGATGGAGCCAGTGATGAAGTATTAGTCTAAGTGTTAAGATTGTATGTTTCAAGAAGTTCAAAGGGAGGCTAAAAGGAGGGGGGGGGGCAGATCAAAGGCTTCCTATGTCCTTTTTATTTTTAAATTCTATATTAAATTCTATTTTTCTATTTAAATTCTATTTTTCTATTTAAATTCTATTCTATTTTAAATTCTGACAGCTGTAACATATTTCATTCCGCACTATGCAATCTTATAGTTTCATCATTTCATCAAGTAGGTATTATATCTCACTTCTTTTGAAAAGAAAAATAACACCTGTGTATTACTATCATCAGAGCTGATCCCACCAAGGATGAATACAACATAAATGACCACAGATAGGATGGCATCTTTACCAGGCTATACACGATTTGTTGCTTTATTTTTTGGTTTTCATTACCTGATATACTATTTCAACTCGTTATAACTGATTACTTGAATGGGCACAATGATTTTGAAATATTTTTATGTTTGGGTTTTTTTGCAATACGTAATGAACATTGTTACAAAAAACACACATCCAGTTGGATATGACTGCTGCTTGCGTTCCACTTTCCTGAAGTGAGCCAGGAATGAAGAAATACAGATAGTCCTCGACTTACAACAGTTTATTTAGTAACCGTTCAAAGTTATAGTGGCACTGAAAAAAGTGAGTTATGACAGTTTTTCACAGTTACGACCTTGCAGCATCCCCATGGTCACGTGATCAAAATTCAGATGCTTGGCAATTGGTTCATATTTATGACCGTTGCTGTGTCCCAAGGTCATGTGGTCACATTTTCCAACCTTTGAAGACTGCCTATACATAAATCATTGTGTGTGGCTAATTCTACTTGCAAAGTCAGAATGCTGGGAGTAATAACCTATAGTATACATTGGGGTTAGGTGTTGATGTGTTTTACAAGGTGGGGGAGAGATTGTGGGTTGCAAAATTAGTATCACAAAGTGGTATCTTATTCTTTGATTTCTAACACGGAAATGCCTATTTTTAAGGCTTACGTTATAGTGGAGATGACCTACTAAGCTGATTAACTGGTTTTTTTTTTTATTTGCACAAAGCTGTTTCAACAGGTTGAAAATCTGACCAAAGGTATAAATGTAGATAAGGACGGGGGTGGGGGACTTGCAAGGAAGTGAATAAAAGGAAAGAAAGAAAAAGGGAATAAATCTATAAATATTGTCATGCCATTTTAGATATCCCAAGGTATAATGGCAACCTGAAATTCATCTGCTCTGAATAAAATTAAGTTAAAGAAATATTTAACTTAATAAAATTCTTAAAAGAGGCAAATCACAGCATCAGCACACAGAGATGGGCCCCACAGCCAATATTCTTCCAAACATGCTACGCTGATTTAAGGAAGGCAGAAAAATGAGCTCTCGTGTTTGGGAGAGGAAAACATTTCCTTGCTTTAAAAACCTCACCATCCTTCTGCTGAACCTAGGAAGGATAAGACACCTGTGGAGATTAGGAAGAATGCCATCCTTTGTTTTCAGAACCATCTCCTCTGGAAATGTTTTGCTCAACAGTCAGCCTTCAAGGCCGACTGTTGAGCATAGCAAGCATTAAAAAAAACCCAGCATAAGTGGCCTGAGAAACCTAATTAAATAAATCAAAACAGAAAATTATCATCCTGTCAAGGACAAATTTAGGCAAGATTCCCACCTAGGCATAGTCAGGACTGAACAGAAGGAAAGTGTGGAAGATGGTAGTTTTATTAACTTCTTTGTGACTTTTCCACAGAATACGTTGTGATCCTATATTGGTGAACTGAATGGATGTTCTACACTAGTCTGCTCTATAATTAAACTGCTGATTATATTGACTGATAACAAATTGGAAACAATTAGGGCACTTCACTCCCGCCTTTGTCACAAGCTAAGCAACTGGATTCTGGAAGCTGCTTTGATGTGGAGGGAGAACTGCTTGCAAAAAGAGAGATGAAACCTTGATTCAAGATAGAAGAATCTTATCGCTGTCATAAATGTGACTGACCTGCAGACCCCTTGGCCAATGGAAA